TCACAAACAGTGCTAACTTCAGACTTAAATCAAAAGAGCTCACAACTTCATCCTGGCAATTAAGAGCCTAAATTTTGAGATGCTCTGCTCTGATGTTTCAGTGTTTGTTTAGAAACACCATATTAAGCACAAACCCCGAACAGCCAAACCCCAGCAGTGACAAGCACTTCATGTAGCAAGTCTGCTTTAAGCAGCAATTATACAGAACGTTTTGAAGTATTAACCCTGCTTATATTATACATAAAAAGCATCTCTCAGAGCTTTTATTGCTTTCTGACAATCCAAATCTATCACAATAGCAATGGAGTTTACAGAGCATTCTTTGCTCCCAGTGTAGATCCCTTGGTTCTACTTCAGAAGCTTAAAGCATACTCACGAGGAAAATAACGTATTTAGTATAGGTGCTGAGTGATCATCAGGAAGGCTTCCAGATTTAAAGTGAGGGCTGAACTGGATCAAGTGATTGCGCAGGACACCAACAGCCTCTTGTGCCTTTGGGTCAAGACTAACTCTGTAAGAACAAGTGCATAACTTGGAGAAATTTAGTAGTTCTAACAACTATTCCCAAGTCTCAAAGCAAAGCAGCCCATCATTCTCTTCACTAACACAGCCATTTCACAGCTCTAACAACATACCTGAACACTATTACACTTCCTGGGGTCAATTTTTCAAACTCTATTTCTTGCACAAATTCATTCGGCCCTTTTATGGCAGTTCCAGCCTGCTTTATGATTTTACTGTCCTTGATCTTTGAAAAGAAAACACGTTTGCGACAGAAATTCAATGTCTTTTCCAGGGTAAAGTAACACAAATGACAAAATATTCCATGAGAACATGGGTGAAGGAGCCCACCTGGATGTGCTCTCTGAGTTCCACTGTGAAATTAGGCAATCCATTCACAAAATGTTCATCTTTTTTGTAAGGACTGGCACTTCTCTCAATAGTCCGAGCCTCAAGTACTACTTCTTCTATTTTTCCTAAGAGAAGTTAAATCATACCGCAGCTGTTAAGATCCTTGAAAAGTGGTTCTTTTGAAAACATGAAGCAAAGTCGAAAACTAAATCCCTAAATGCTCAAAACCTCAAATATTCAAAATACAACTCTAAGTCTTGCAGCCACTTGTAAATGTCTTAACATGTAAAGTGACTAAAACAGGCACATGCATGCATGCAGAGAATTGAGTATACCTATAAAGCCACTTTGGAAAGCTTCTCTTCAGCAATGTGTCCAGGTAGTGGACAGAAGTTGTTATATGTGTCCCTGCTCATGGCAGGGGGGTTGGAACTAGACGATCTTAACGTCCTTTCCAACCCTAACTATTCTATGATTCTATTCCATGATTCTATAATTTGCTACCATTAAGTACAGTAAATACTTTGCATATATAGATAATACATTCATAATATTATCTCTACATTAACTTATGCAGTACAAAGTCATTTCTTATGAATATGTATTTTAAAACTACAAAAATAGTCATATACAAAAAAGATGAATTAAGAAATGATGATATTTTAGCCTTTTGCACAACATAGTACTTAGTAGTAATCACTGCCCCAACTCTGTACAACTAACTTTCTTTAGCTTTCTTGCTGTTAACTATTTCTTAGCAGCTCACAAAGAAGACAACAAACAAAAGCACACCCTCATAGGGAGCTTCTAAGAGGAAGCAGACTCAACATGAATGCCTTTGAAAACCCTAAGCGAGGTAAGCTTCTTATGGTTTCTTTAACCACTTTTGGTGCATGCATGTAGGTACATATAAAAAGAGGGTTATATACTGAAAATTCTCAACCTGAAACCATGACATTATTATAAAAAGCATGGAATGAGAATAACTTGAATTTCTTCCTGTGCCTGCCACCTCTTGAAAAGAAATCTGATTACCTGGGATACACATTTCAGGTACTTCTTTACTGTAGAATGAAGTTTTAGGATCCCTGAAGGCAGTTCGACTTACAGCCACAACAGACTGGTGTGTGTTAGGGCAATGCCTCGTCACTGCCACTATATCTTCATCAACTTGATCTACATACACCTAGAAAAGACAGACCATTGCAACTGTGCTCACTCACAACAGGAAAGGAGAGAAATCGCAGTGGTACCCCCAGTTCTTGCCTGATTAAAGCCTTTAGCCCCCAGCTCCTGATGCAGCCTGTTTATGGCCAACCTTCCTGCTAGAATTCCCGTTTGGAAGTTAACTTCACCAGAAGCCAGGTGTGCTGCTGGATTCCATTTTGCATAAAACCTCTCTTCAGATACTACAGAGATCTGTAAAGAAATAAAGCAAATATATAATAAAGAATATAATAATAAAAA